TTTGTGTCCAAGAATCTTCCAGAACCCTTTTATAAGCCCCTTAAACAACTTTCCTTCTAACCAGGAAGTGTGTTTTGTCAGGAGTAAATTGAACTCAAACACCCAAATAATTCAAATTTGGTTCAGAACTCAGAATCCCCAAATTTTTAAGAGGGTTGGAAAGTTTATAAACAAATCTTCATGTCACTGAGGAAGTCCGGTGGTGGTACTAAGATGTGTAGAGTATTACACGTGAGATGCAGTGATTACATGTGGTGACATTTTATGTGCTTTAAAGCCAAAAGTCTGACTTCTTGCTGCCTGGATCAAGTGCTGGCCTGGCCAAGCAGCTTCCAGGTCTGGGTGGCCCAGGACCCGTGCAGTCCCATCAGCTTTCTGAGTGTTGGTACCTTCCTCAGCAGGCTGGAGAGTGAAGCCACGAAAGCTAACACCCATGGGCGCCATAGAAAGGTGGGCTACCTGCCCAGCCCCATGAGGGCCTTTGCAACAAAAGGTCTCTCTTCCATAGATAGGGCCTCACCATCCAATTTAGGCAGTTAAATCTGTAGATGAATCAATGAGCTAGCTTCATTTATTCTATCCCAGGGTTAGTTTTGTCTTTTCAAAAAATTTTACTGTAAACCTGAGCACAGAATGTTCAGAGCATTTGATTAAAGCCAAAAAAATACAGATGGTGATAAGACTTTTTTTAAACGTGCTGCTGTTTCTATACAAACATGACATAATTATTCCAGTTGAGTTTAGAAGTTTGTTTTTCTAGTCATGGTGTTGGGGCATGGTTTAAATAGCCAGCTGTGTCACTTAGTAATAAGGTTCAGCCACATGTAGCAGAAAGCCCAAATAGCAAGCTTAAGTAAGACAGGGATTTACACTTTGCTCACATGTAAGAAATCCAAGAAAGGAAATCCAGGGCATAAAGCCTAGTTCCAGGGTCATCAAGGACTTGGGCTCTTCCTGTGTGCCTGCTCCAACCTCCTTACCATACAACTTCCATTCTCAGCATTGCTTTATGGTCACAAGACGGCTGATGGAGGCCCAGCCCTCATGTCTATGTTCCAGGCAGCAGGAAGAAAGAAGAGCCTCTCAGTTTACTCAGTCCCATGTAACGAGCTTCTTTAGAAGCCCAAACCAAAGACTTTGGCTTATATCTAATTAACAACTACTGTCTACCAGAGGCTGGAAAATATGTTTTATCAAAGCACATTGCTGCCTTCAATAATATAAAGTTCCACCAGCAAGAAAAAAGTGAAGAACTGGGTGGTCAACCAGTTGTCTCTACCTTACCTGCCATGCTCTCTCCTGCCCTTTTCATAACTCTTAATCACAGCAGTTACTGGTGGAAGGCGGACCAGGAGAAAATTCTGGCAGCCATGAACTGTCAGGCTAAGTGTGTGAGACCTAATCAAGGCCTGACCCACAAAGATTCTGATGTGTCTTCTTTGTTTTTAGGTACTTAGTTCTCTGCCTCCGCCTGGACTAAAACTGATTTACCCCAGATCAATATTGTGTGTGGAAGATCTTTCCTCAAGGCCAGAAAGGACTAGAGGGGCTGGAGGGGTTGGGTGTCAGCTGGCTCATCTTCCTCAGGCCTGGGCGTTCCTGCCTCTGGTGTCATCACTGATGAAATCTTGCAGGAAAGCAGATGTGTTTACATGTTCCCTGAGGAGAGAATGATGTAGTAGCATGGGGGTCTTAAGTTACAGGGAGCCTGAAAGGCAAGTAGTCCCCTACTCAATTCAAGTTTGGGCAACATTGAACAATACACATGAAACGTGGCATCCACTTCATTGACACCAATTGGGAGGTGCTCACAGTAAAGTCTTTCCTCACCCCATCAGCCCAGTTTTTAGCCAAGCAAACTGAGGTGAGGTCACCTGCACTGAAGGGCCACACTGCTTCCCTTCTTTAGAGAACCGCCTTCACCCAAGGAGCCTGGCTTTCCATGAAAGGCTCCCACGCGCCCAGGTCCTGGAGGCTGATGTTGACTCCTGGGTGCTGGGTAAGGTGAGTGGCCTGTGGGAGGCAGCTCTGCAGCTGGCCACCAGCTCTGGAGGTGCTGAGGGCCCTCAGCAGGCCTCTGGGAACCCCTAGTAAGGCTTAGGTACCAGACTGGAAATGAGGTGAAACAAAAAGGGGTTCCATTACTATCATTCTCCTTATCATTATGAATTACATTTGCTACAGACCTCAATATCTCCTTCAAGGTTTATGCATTTAAAAATGTATGAGGTTGAGATTTTGGAGAGGGTGGAATATCTAACTTAAATTTTATCTCAGTCTTTTATCTCATCTTTATTCATGATTATTTTTATTAAATGTTCATCAAACTAGTAAGCCCTCAGCATGAGATGTCCTGGACTTATATAATTTGAGATGCCAAGAAGCCAAGCAGCAGACAGCAGCAGCACCACCACAGAGTTGAATACAAAATACAAATGCTATTTTTACAATGAAATTAGCAGAGTGACTATTGCTTGACCAGGGAAGTTGGTGGAAGCCAGAGAGAAGCCAGGGAGACTTGCTAACTTCCCAGAAGAAAGCCTACTAAGAGGAATCAATCTCAAGGAAGAATAGGAAAATGAGGAGCTGGCATGTATACAGCACTTTACAGCTTATAAAGCACCATTTTCTTACTTTCGCTTCCCTAAACACTATAAAGTGAGATTATTTTATGGAAAAAGAAACCGAAGCTCAGAGTGAAGTGTACAACCGAAGGGCACACAGCTGGAATCCAGGTCAGGGATGTGGTCAGAAGGGTTGGGCCTCTAAAGCCTTAGATGTTCAGACAATCCCCCTGCCGCCCAGACATCTAATGGCTGATAATGGGAGAAAACAGTCCTTCCTCCTTTCCTGGCACCTATGGTCACCACCTCTGAGGCTGGTACCTAAGGGTTTGATTTCTATACAAGGCACACCTGGAGGGATGCTGCTATCATTTTGCACCTATACATTTGCTGTGCTCTCTGCTGCCCCAGTGACATGGGGCCACAATAGACAGGTGCTGCCCTTGGTGAAAGAAGGGTGCAGAGGAGGGTAAGAGAAATCCCTCCTCCACATCCTGCACCATCCACCCACACACAGTCTGGCCTTGGTTCCTCCACTGCAGGTGATGTCTGGTACAAGTATCTGCATGCCTCTGTTTACTTACCCGTAAAATGGGGAGAAGAGCATCTTGCTTTCATCCCTCCTACTGAGTGGCAAGACGGGAGCAGAGGTAGCCTGCTGGTATGAACAAATCTCGAGCCAGGCCCATCCTCCTAACCTGCTCTCTGGGAGCCGCCTCCTATGGCTGAGTACCCCACTCTGATCCCAGGCTCCCAAGATCATGTGGGTGGATGTCAACAGGAGGAGCCACAGGTGAGGTTGGCCCCCAAGGCCAACTGCTGCTGGTCAGGAGGGTCTGCCTCCAGACCCTGCAGGCCCTGCTGGGCCCAGGCACCCAGACGCTGGGGCTCAACATCCAGGTAGAGGCCCTGGCATGAGACATCTGCCCACATGTTTCCAAGAGGCCTGAGTGGGGGCCACAGGGCCAGCCAGGCAAGACAGGGAGCCCAGGGACTTGCAGGAGCAGCTAAGGAAAGAGACAGCATTGTTCTGGGACTCATCAGTGTCAGTAAACCTGGCATCAAGAACAGACTCACTGATGTCGGTCAGCCCCGGGGGACCCATTATCCCCTTTCCCTGCTTCACCTGTGCATTCTAAGCCACAACAGCATAGGACCCTTTCATTCCCAGAAGGCAGGTGGTCTGATAACAGGTTTGCAAAAGTTTAAAAGTTTATTCCACTATCCAGGATACTCAGCAGCATTGCAGTGAGGAAGGAGAGAGAGGATAGAGATGGACACTGAGAGCCCCAAAACAAACAGAAGGAGCCTCAGGACAGTAAGGAGTGTCCACATTGCTTGGCACTTGAGATTACTCACAGAAGGAAATGGACTGAGGGGCTGAGTGTTCTGGGGATTAAACCACTGCTTTTGTCCTCCACTTGATGCCCCACATCATCGTTCCAGAAACCTGAGGTATGACATACATGAGAAGCCGCTTCCATGTCTCAGATAGGACCTGGAGCAAGTCCCTGGCTTTGGTGGAACGTTTGAGAGGAGCTGGACGTGCTTCCTTGGCAAGTTGAGCAACCTACGCGATAAGCGCTTCAACACTTAAAGCTGCAAAGATCTCACGTGCTTTCTCTTTTATTATTTTTTTTAAAATAAGGTATAATGTATGCCTTTAAAAAAAAATCAGAACAATTGCATCCCAGGGCCTCGGGCTGGAGCCCTGCTATGAGCCTGTGAAGGTCAGGGACCTGGTCGCGCTGGGACGCCACAGCACGGGGAAGGAAGGGCCAAAGGCTTTTCCTTAGCCTTCTGCCCCTCGGCGTGTGACGCCCAGGGCCGGGGGAGATTCCGCGCCCGCTTGCCCGCAGTCCCGGCACGGGCCGAGTGGGGCGCGGCGGACGTCGGTCCTGCAAGCCCGGCCCCGGCGTCTGGACTCTAGGCCGAGGCACGTGGGCAGCGACGCGGGGCCTCCCCGCGGGGTCCCCGACCCCGGGCGCGGCGCAAGGCCCTCAGCGGGCGGGCGGGAGGGCGCGCCTTCCCGGAGCGCGGGGCGCGGACCGAAGTTGGGCGAGTGCACGGAGCGTCAGCGGGCCGGGGGCGGCAGGTGCCGCGGGCGGACTCGCCAGCCAGCGCTGCAGCCCCGCGTCCCCGATTCCTGCCCCGGCCCGCTGCCCAAGCCCTGGGACTTCCGGGGCCCGGCGGCGTTTCGGGAGCTTCTCCAAGAGCAGCCTCCCGGGCGGGAAGCGCGCTGCGCGATGGCCGGGCGGGGGGTGGCCGGGCTCCCGCAGGGGCGGCGGGCGGGGTGGGGTGAGGCGGGCCGGCCCCCTCCCCTCCCGCCAGCCCTCCCTTCCTCTAGTCCTGCAGCCAATTAGACAGCCCCCTCGGGCGGGAGGCGTGGGGCGCTCCATAAAGCGGCGCGGAGCTGTCACCCCGCGAGTAGGCTGCGCACCGCCCAGGCCGGAGCAGGCGCCGAAGACTCGGGCGCTTCGGACCCGGGAGGGTGGAGGAGCCATGGCCACCACCAACGGGGCCGTGGAGAACGGGCAGCCGGACAGGAAGTCACCCACCCTGCCGCGCCCCGTGCGCAACCTGGAGGTCAAGTTCACCAAGGTGAGACGGGCTCGCGTCCCACCCGACGTCCGTCTGGCTCCGCGCTGGGCTACCCGGCTACGGTGACGGGGACCAGGGGTCAGCAGGCCGGGAGCCCCGCTGCTCCGCTCCGAGAGTGCGGGGAGCTGGGGCGGCGCGCCCTCAGCTGAGTTCGCCCAGCGCTCCTGTGACTCGAGCCTCTCCGCTCAGCCGAGCCCTCCCGAAGCAGCGTTCAACACTGGGCATCCCGGGCGGGAGTCCACCGCGCACCCCAAATGGGACTCCAAGATCCGCACCCCCAGACGGGCTCTCGGGCGCGAAAACAGGGCGAGGGAGGCTCTGCAGCGGCCGCGTGGTGCCAGGCTGAAGCCCGGTGCGGCCCCGACGTGCCCCTGCAGGGCCCGCTTTGAAGGCGAGCGGTGGTGCGCCGTGACTTGGGCGCGGTGGTCTTCCCGCAGACCCTGCGGCGTAGTTTCCGGGGCTGAAGGGGGTCGGGCTTCGAGAAGGTCGGAGGGTGCCCGAAAACACCAAGAGCCGACCTGAGAGGTCAGGCTGCCTCGGGAAGTGTCCGGAAACGTCAGCGGGAGCAAGCGGAGAGAAGTTGGGCACCTCCTGTGCTTAGCTCTTACCAGCTTACCAGTAGAACGAGGGCTAGTAGGAAGGTGCTCACTGATGAGACTGTCCCGGAGCCCAGAGACCTTGGTCTTGGCAGATCATGGTCTCAGATCTGGGCCTGGGAAACCGCGGGTGGCAGGGCCCCATCGCGCCGCGGAGTCCCGAGGCTCGCTGTCCTTTTTGCGCTGTGGGCTAGGAGGCTGGAGCACCGGCAAAGCGGTGAGAACACCTGCCTAGGGCAGAAAGGAAGATGGCGAGGCCTGGAGCCCGGGCTGAGCAGGGCTGGGAGCTCTGTTGCCAGCAGGGAGCGTGTCCCCTCCGGTGGGAAGACACCCCGAGGCTGTTTGGAGGCCGTTGGGCTGGCTCTGGGGACACTTAAGGGGTGCAGGCCAAGAGCCACGGTTGGCTTCACTTTGCCCAAGTTTGTCTCCTTTTATTTTTGCATCTTATCCATTGCCCCCAACTCCAGCTGACACAGCACTTAGAAAATTCCTCCATCAATTTTACTTTCACAAGTAGCAATTATGTCTCTCAAATAGTTTTAATCAAGCAGAGAAAGTTGTAGGCCACTATGTGTGGCCTTCAGATTTTGATCTCTTGGCGCTTATTGTCGGCTGGACCTCTGATCACATGACATTAAAATTAACTGTTTCCAGAGGGCTCTGTAACCAACAGAGACATTTCGATGGAGATTATTTTTAATGTAGTTTCCTAAGTAGTATCAGCTTCAAAGTGCAAATTCCAACTCATATTCTGGGAACAATGAAAATAGTACCTAAATTTTTTTAGCCCCTAACACTCGTAGTGGTCACCTGTTGTTGTTGGTAGTAGCGTTTTGTTTTATTGGATTTTAAAAAACAGTATAGAAACCAGAAATTACATATATTATTTTCCTATTCCTTTTTACCTTTTTTTAGTGCTATCAGAGCAATGGAGCCACATATGGAAAGTTACCTCTTTGTCTGCAATTCTTTCTGCCCCCTCACAAGTGTAAATGCAGCCTTTAAGTAGAGAGGTGGATTTTAGCACATTCACAGAGTGACTGGTGTTTGTTGTCCTGCTGGGTGCCCCCTCTTCTTAGTGGAACAGAAAGGGTTGTGACTAAGGCTGAGGGAAGGGCATGAGATGGAGGGGGCTGGAGAGCCAGGATCCTTAGTGGCTCCTAGGCAATGATGATTGCGGCAGCCTGACAGTAGGCTGCTGTACCCTCCTTTCATCTGGAGGGCAAGGCCTCTGTCTCTCTGTCCTTGCTCCAGGCCCATCTCCACAGAGGCCTCCTCCTAGCAGTTGTGGGGTTGGGGCAGCCTGTGTGGTTGTGACTGAGGGTGGGGAGCCCAGGCAAGCAATGCTTAGGGAGCCCCTGGCTGCAGAGGCAGCCCACAGGGCTGAGGAAAGAAGCGGGAGAAACAGAACTACAGTATCGAGGCCCCCCGAGGCCCCCGAGGCCCCCTGGCTGTGGAGTGTGTGAGCAGTAACAGTCTGTTATTTTTCAAACCTGACTCATGGTGCTTCTTGTTAATGGAGGACAAGCTGGAAATGGTGGGTCTGAGCCCCAGCCTTGGGGGACCTTTTCCCAGGGTAAGTCCAGTCTCCAGAAGGACGAAATTCCTTTGTTCTCATGTTTTAACACTGGGCTCTGCTCTGTGATTTTGGTGAGGGGGGGGTCCCCCCCATAACCCCCACATAGGTCTCAGAGGGTAGCAGCCCCTTTCACTTCATAGGGCCCCTTCCTTTTCTTCCAGTAGCAGAAATTCTTTTTAAGATTTTCTGGCTCATTAAAACACTGGTTTTTATGATCTCTTTTATGAAAAATAAAATTCACTCAGATTTCCTTTTCTGAAAATACGCTCCTTTTGAGTATAGCTGAGGTCCAATGGAAGTTTCTATAAGTGGCGTCAGCAGAACTCACTTGTGTGACCACCACCTTCGTCTCTTCTGGGGCATCCGTATCTTGACAATAGCTGTGGTTTTCCAGCTCAGTCTGGATAGTATACCATTCCATTCCTTCAAAATGTGAGTCCCATCCACTCAATGTAACGTAATTTTATTCCTCTATAAGTTTTGTTTCATACCAATTCACAAGTCAAGGGGAACAGTTTTTTTCTAGACCCATTTTCCTGTTTTGGGGTTCAAAACAATACAGCCAGCATAATTGGTAGGCCACACTTACCTCTTCCTCATTTGTGTTTTTGTTTTCTTTTATTGGAGAGAAAAAGCAACAGTAGAAACCACTTACAAAATTACTTACTAATGTAGTATAAAGAAAAAATTTTTGCTAAATTAGAAACATTGTGATGGGAAAATATGAGTAGAGTTGAGCCGTCTGAATTTTTTTTAAGTTGCTGGTAAGAAAGGACTATGGATCAATGTCATGAACGACCAAGTAATTTTTTTTTTTTTGGAGGAGCATGCTTGGAGATGAAGTATAACAGACATCTGATCATTGCAATCTGTTTTTATCCCCTTATTTATATTCTCTTCTACCACCTTCTCATTTTCCCTCCTCCTTGGAATTGATACCAGGAAGGTCCTAGAATCAGCAGTTTTCACTGACAGTCTCTATTATCTAACCCACGAAATTTCATCTTCCGACAAATGGGCCTCTCTTCCTGGCTGCACTTTCCTCCCCACGCTAACTTAACTCCTCTTCTCTACTTATTAATTTCTCACTGTTACCGAGTGATTGCTTGCTGGATGGCAAAAGTGAACTCTTGGATTTGGTTTCAGCTGGAAGAATAAACCTGTAATTGTAGCCTGGCCTTTTCCGCGCGCTTCCCTGGGGGCCTGGCCTCACATTGAAGGCGCTGAGCTTCCAGAAGTCAGATGGGCACATCCCACGGTCGAGGGTCGCTCTCAGCTCTGGACCCCACACAGGGAGGCAGGGGCCCTCTGCCCACCTGCCCAGCCAGAGCTGGCCTTCTGTGCATTGTCCCCACCGCACTCAAATTTCCCTGCTTTCCAGGTAGAGTTATCAAAACAGTGCACCAGTGGCTTCCCAGAGCGGGCTTCCTTCCCTGTGAGCTCAGGATTTTTTACAGGACAGCCCAGGACAGAGAACATAGTCCGGTTGCACACTGGATGAGTTGGCTCCCCTCTAATCCATCCTTACTGGGGAGTCAAGTATTCCGAATGAATGAAATTCACAGTCATTGAAATTAATCCTTGTAGTGATGCAATTCTCCCTTTAAATGACTCAAAGATATGCATATAGATATAGAGATAGAATAAATGCGTATAGAGATGTGCATATAAACATATGCATATAGATATAGAGATGGAATCTAATGAGCTAATTCTGTACTTAGAAATTATTGACGGCATTTTACTTGATAGAAGTGCTTCTAAAGCATATCAGTCATGTTTGTGACTGGGGTCTCTCTGATGCCACGATGGGCTCTGATGACAAAGTTGTCCCAATCTGGTACAGCAGGGGATTGCCTGTCCTCTCACTGGGTAGCCAGGACCTCCATTCTGTCAGAACATGTTTTATGTATTATCTGTCACCTCTGTTCCTAGTTCTTTCCCAAAAGCTGGCTCTTTTAATGCTTTTTTAAGGCAGTTAGAACTTAGGGTAAACTAAGAGTAAATAGTACACACATTTCAGTGCATGGACTTGTGAATTCTTTTTAGTTTGCTCAAGATGTCTTTTTCTTTTTAATGTCTCTATTCTCGGCTGTGTTCTAGATAACTGAGTCTCTGAACTAAGTGATTTTTGTGAGTTAATTCTTTGGTTCTGGATATAAGCCGTTATTTGCTACATATGTTAATATAACCAGAACCTTTCCTAACACAGATATTTATCTTTGTATTCCAATACTGGCTTTTATTAAGCCCAACATGAAAATAGACATTTTAAAGGGAATGGGGGAGGGGGGGCTGATGTGCATTAATGAGAGCTAAAGGGTTATAGTAAGATCCTTGTATAATGCCAGTTCCTTGGTGATCTAGCTGGGGCTTGCAGCAGGAAGGAGGGAGAAGGTAGTGCTCACTGCTGACATACTCTTCAGGGACAGGTGGATTGCTTGGCACCATATATACACACACACACACACACACACACACACACACACACACACACACACATATATATACACATATATATGCATATTTAATCTTCCCCCAAACTTGCTGAGTGTGTAAAATTTAACTTATACCCTTTATGTAACTATCTAACCCTGCTATTTCTCTGTGAATCCATCTTATTGTTTAAAACAAGAGAGAGAGGGCTTCCCTGGTGGCGCAGTGGTTGAGAGTCTGCCTAACGATGCAGGGGACATGGATTCGTGCCCCGGTCTGGGAAGATCCCACATGCCGCGGAGCGGCTGGGCCCTGTGAGCCATGGCCGCTCAGCCTGCACGTCCGGAGCCTGTGCTCCGCAACGGGAGAGGCCACAACAGTGAGAGGCCTCCGCAAAAAAAGAGAGAGAGAATATTTTAGAAAAAAATTCTAAATTAGTTTTATTGTGACAAAATGTAGTTCTCTGAAAATGTATTAAAAGTCAGGAGACTTGGATTCTAATTCTGAGTGTGCTCCCGGTTGGGCATGTGGCTCCATCCCCCTTCCAGGTCCTTCCTATAAAAAAGGCAGACAGGTAGGTTGGAGGGACAGAAGGAAAAGACGTTACCTAAGGTCCTCAGTATGTTGGAATTATATGATTTTGATTTAAGCCTAATGCATTACAACTTCCTTTCCTGGTTAGATATTCATCAACAATGAATGGAACGAATCCAAGAGTGGAAAAAAGTTTGCCACATATAACCCTTCAACTCTAGAGAAAATATGTGAAGTGGAAGAAGGAGATAAGGTGGGTGCCCCCCCCCTCCTGTAATTCAATTACAGATTACTAGAGGAAAAGGAAACACTTCAGCTGAGTTATAAGGCAGAACTGGCCCACACTGAGGTTGGACCTAAGCGAGCTGCTTCTCAGACACTTGGCCCAGAATGGGATCAATTAGGGACGATGTGCTGCAGAGTCACTCTCCTTTGATAGATGTTTCTCCATCTATGAGGATGACCTCAGCTATCCTTATCACGTGGTTTAAGGAAAGGTTTTTATCAACTGTTTGATACTGGTGGCATTAAATAATCTTTCCAGAAAGAATTTCCGGCTGGTGTGTTTCACCAAATGCAGCATTCTGGCAGGAGACACTTTAAAAAAAAAAAAAAGACTTGAAGGAAGAACGACTTGCTAAGTCATGCAGAGGTAATAATGTCATGCAACTGCCAGATTTCTTTTCTACCAGAAACTTAAATTATCTTGTAAAGCTATAGTCTATAACCGTATTTGATAGTGCAGGGTATATTTTATAAGCTATATTATATGTATACATTATATATGATATACATTATTATATATAATGCTAAGGGACTCCTGGAGGTGTCCTTGATACATGTCAAACCATAAAGTATCTTTTGAATATGTATCATTGGGGGAAAGGTTGAAGGTACCGCTTTTGTAAGGAGCGAAGGGAAACGTAACCCTCTCCTCAACCACTAGAGTACTCATCTGATGTTGTTAAGTGTGTAGGTAATGTTGAATGTGAACAGGGTGAATGACACATGTGTAAAATAGGCTTGAATTTGATCCTACTAGTGATGGTTTTGTGATAGGTATGCAATGCACAGTGTTTCCACCTATACATACCCTCCCATGTGCAGCGCCCCATGCTAAGCTCTGTTTACAAAGATACTAGCACTGAGGAGCTCGTGCGAAGGTGTAGGGGTGGAGCATGATGCAGAGCAGGACTCCCAGGTGCAGTATACAGGTATCAGGGAGGAGAGTAAGATCCCTGCCCCTGGATCTGGCTCGTCCCATGGTCCCAGTGACTGTTCCAAGCACCAGAAGACAGAGGCTGCCCTGTTCCTGCAGCTGGAGAGGTCCTGGCCTCCACCCCAGAGCCTGGGACAAGGGATTCAAAGACCTAATATCTCCCTTGCCAAAGTTTCTGCTCACCTCCAAGCCTACTTTGGAGACACAGAATCTTGGTGGAGTGTCCCTCTTGACTGGTGCCAGGTGTCCACTGCTGGTTGCACCTCCCTAAGGAAGAGAGGCTCAGAGGGACCTGGGGGGTGAGCCCCTGCCCATCAGCAACCAGAGCCTCAAACCCCATTTTCCTGAACATAAGAATGGGTGTCAGGGAATTCCCTGGCTGTCCAGTGGTTAGGACTAGGCGCTTCCACTGCAGGGAGCCTGGGTCTCATTCCTGGTTGGGGAACTAAGATCCTGCATGCCTCGTGGCATGGCCAAAAAAATAACAATAAATAAAAATTTAAAAAGAATGGGTGTCATTACTCTAAACAGCTCTCATTCTTTCCCAGTAAAGAAGTTTTGATTTTAATTCTTCTATCAGTGCATAGATGATCCAGTTCTTTTTCTATAAAATCATCACAGTTCTGCCCTCAGGGGGTAGGTGAGGTGAGGCTAAAGGGAGAAAAAGTCCCTGATCCTCCCCATCTAGGGACTTTTTCAATGTGGTCAGTTCTGAGATCCAGAGGAGGACTCGTACCCCCGTTCTTGCTATTGGACTGCAGTCCTCAGCTGGAGTAAAATGCCAAGACAGACATTTCCCATCTAATTGGTGAGCTGTGGGAGTGTGTTTGTATCCACACTGAGGTAGCAAGTAGATGATCTTTTCCTACTTTGGTCACCAAGAAAAATAATTAAGGTCAGTGGTTTTATGACTATTTTAAACGCTTTGTATAATCAGAAGGAAAGTTAATCTTTGGCCATTGTAGAAAACTTGAAAGACTTAAGATATAAAGAAGAAAAAAAACACTTGAAAGCCCCCAGCCATTAAAGTGATTGGAAACCTAGCTGTTGCTCTGAGCTGCCTGCTGCCCCTCCTTCCTCTGCAGCGGGCGGAGACTGCTGTTCTCTGACAGCTGAGCCCTCAGCGAAAGGTGACACACTCTCTCTATTGTTTCGGCTGCGCAGCTCGACGTAGACAAGGCCGTGGAGGCTGCACAAGCTGCCTTCCAGAGAGGCTCGCCGTGGCGCCGGCTGGATGCCCTGAGCCGCGGCCGGCTGCTGCACCAACTGGCGGATCTCGTGGAGAGGGACCGTGCCGTCCTGGCCGTGAGTACATGCACACAGGGGAGGCGTGGGGCCAGCCAGCCTCCCCGAGGGCCCACCCCGCTCAGAGTGTGGGAGAAAGGACCTAGGGTGCTGTTTTGTGTAGCGGTGTTTTGGTCCTTTGAGGTGTGGCTTTCCGGCCATAGGCAGACGTCTATGCTACTGGACGCATACTTTTTGTTTTGAAGTCGGACTTTTGTCCCCTGCAGCTCATCTTCTTGGCCTGGAGGAAGTTCAGCTCCATTAGTAGTTCCCAGACTTGAGATGTTCACAGACAGCTAGGCTGGGCTGGGCTGTATCCTGGTCCCACCTGCACAGTTATGAACTTAACTTGTTTTCTTACATGAACTCCCTTTTAAAGTGAAATTTAACCTCATCCTAAGTGACAGTATCCATGAAATTACAGGTTTAATGTGGTGGTGTATTTTTTCTAATACTTATTAAAATAAATGCTACCACTTGACATAGAAAAAGTGTCCCCATATAGCTTAAAAATCACCCCTATTTCACCTGTGAAATGGGCAGTGGTGAGTGTGTGTGGAGTGATGGTGAGGGCAGGATAACCTAGTTATAGGAAACCTCAGAGTATGAAAGACCTAGGTTCAAGCCCCAGCTCTGCCACTTACTAGCTGTGTGACTTTGGACAAGTTGCTTAACCTCCCTGAGCATATGTTTCTTCATGGACAATATCACGAATAATGGTATCTGAGTCTTGTGAGAACGATCCATTTAAAATCCTTAGCAGTCCCTGTCATGCAGTAAGTACTAAATAGATGATAGCTATTATTAGTAATGCTATCTAGGGCTTCCCTGGTGGCGCAGTGGTTGAGAGTCCGCCTGCCGATGCAGGGGACACGGGTTCGTGCCCCGGTCCGGGAAGATCCCACATGCCACGGAGCGGCTAGGCCTGTGAGCCATGGCCGCTGAGCCTGTGCATCTGGAGCGTGTGCTCTGCAACGGGAGAGGCCACGACAGTGAGAGGCCCACATACCGCAAAAAAAAAAAAATATATATATATATATATATATATATATAATGCTATCTGAAGACCCAGGTTCTAACCTCAGCTACTTGTTCTCCTGGCCAGCAAATTTCCAGCACCTTAGTTCCTCAGCTGCAAGACGGGGATCTTTATTCATCCCATTGCATGAGGTTGGCCTGCTCTCATGAGATGGGCTATGTAGACGTTTAGGAGTTGTAAGTACAGAATTGAACAAGATCCTCAGACCTTCTTTTGGTCTTGCGGTGGGTGCTTGATCAGAGTAAATCTTGGGGCCCCCTTGTGCCTTGAGGTCCTTTGCAGCCTGCACACGCAGCCCTCATATGGCTCAGACTCCTGTGTAAAACTTGCCCCAAACCTGGAGGCCCAGCTGGTAGGAAAGGAAATCTCCTTTTTGGTCTCTGATTTGGAAAAATGGTTTTTTTCCTTTCTTGATCTGATGCTGGGAATGAGTAGTCAAGTGGACACCTGCGTGGAGGTCAGTGCCAGCTAGGACTCTGAAATTGCTCTTGACCCTGAGTGTGTGTCTTGGTGTGGAGGGTGGAGAAACTACATTTCAGGTGCTCCTCTGGGGTGCGTTGCCCTGAGGGTGCATCCGCACAGAGAGAACTGCACCTTCCTTCCGCCCTCCCCAGCTGGCCAGCCTGAACCCGGGTGAGAAGAGCTCCCTCCCAGGGTCAGTGTCTCTCTCCGCAGAGCCTCTGGTTTCTTCCTGCAATGAAAGCCAGTCTCAACTCTCAAGCTGCCAAACTGGCTTCTTCAAAAACATTTCTGTTTTCACCCAGCATGAGCTCATCGGTCTGCAATGTCCGTGAGGACTAATAGCAGGCGGGAGAGGATGTGCCTGGGCACCCTCCCCACCCTGTCCTCAAGTATCAGTATCATCTTGGGGAGCAGTGGCTTCAAGGCCACCCTTACCTTCAGCCCTCCTGGCTGTCCTGGCAAGACTGGTGTTAAAGCACATAGAGCAAGTCCCCTCTGCCATCTGACCTTGCTGCCCACAAGAAATAAGATCCAGTTCTTCGCCACATTGTGAAAGGGACAAGAGAATGATTGGCAAATACAGTTTTTAAAACCCAGACCACATCACGGGAAAGCACGCCCTTGATGGGGTTTTCCTGCATTCTCCCGCACAAAGTGCCGCTTTCCATCATGTTCTCTTGCCAGCTTGGTGGCTTTGACAGAGCTGGGCAATTACTTTGTGTTCAGTGTTTGGAGACCATGTGGCAGATCCAGCAGCCCCAGCTCTCTCTCTCCCTCACTAAAGCACCTGGACCCAGACTCTGGCACTTCGGGCTCTCATCTTGGGAGCCTCGAAATAGGGGCTGTCCCTGCTTGCTCTCTTCTCAAGCAGAGCCCCACTTCTGAGCCCCTCATTTAAGCCTTGGCACTGGGGCATCTGAGACATGTCCCACAGCACTTTTCCTTCATTCTTTAGTATCTGAGGGTTACCGTGTGTTAATTTTTCAAAAGGCATATTTTTCTCCTAAAATGTTAAAAGAAATAAACTTAGAAGCAGCTGTGGTTCCCACATGGTCCAGACACAATAATTGTGTAGAAGTCCCAAGCTAACACTTGATCTCTCAGATTCAGGCCTGTGTACTCACCTGCGAATCTTTTTTGATTTTTATTTTTTTAAAGAACTTCCTTTCTAAACCTGTTGTGACCCAGTTTTGCTTGGACAGATTCCATAACACCAACCTGGCAAATTCCTGTTGTCATTCCAGTAAGCAAACGTGACTAAGTTAATAATAAAAAACAGTCAACGCTTGTTGAATGCTCATCATGTACCAGGCTTATTGTGGGCACTTGACCTGTAGTATTTATTATCCTATTTGGAGAACGCTGAGGCCCAGAGAGTTTAGGTAATCTGTCCTAGTTTATCCAGCCAGAGAGGGTAAGCCAGGGCTAGATGTGGGCAGTGGCTCCAGGCCTCGCACGTCCCCACAAAGCTCTGTCCCAGTCTCCTGTCTTTCTCTCCCATCCCAGAAAAGGGCCAAGAGTATAAACTTCCCGTTCCACTGACAGACGTGCGGATGCTGTATGGAACAGCTGGGCCCTGGAGAATTTTGGCATTATTTGCAATTGTTGGGTTTCCCCTGGGTAAATGCAAGTTCCAACTTAGAATGTAAATCAATAGGAGCCAAAAGTACAGTGTACTGGCTGTCACACTGTCCTGACTTTGTCCCTGAGCAGCATCTACCAGGGGTGAGACACACCAGAGACCCAGACCAGCCCTGTCATCTCTAGCAACACACAGCCCTGTCTCCTTGCTGTCCCCAGCTGAGGATTGTGGAGCACCTGTCTGGCCCTAAAAGGGAAAATGACAACAATAGTCAGAGCTGTTATTATCATCATTTGAACAGTGGACAGTGCTGTTAGTACTTTATGTATAGGACTCCTCTAACCTGCACACTAGTCCTATGAGGTAGGTGCCATTACTGTTATTGTTGTTTTGCAGATGAGGAAACTGAGGTAGGGAGAGATTCAGGGACTTGCCAAGGCCACTCAGCTAGGAAAGTGGTTGCCTCCTGTTCAGAGAATTCTTGGTTCATTCCTGAAGCAAAGATAGAGTAGCCCCAGCCATTCATGCAGCAATCCTACATCCTTTCCAGATGCAAATTGGAGGGACAGCAGCCTAAAAAGCAGTCACTGCCCTTACTGACAGTCAGATGCCCCAAATTCAGTGCCAGCCATGCCGCCTACCCTCTGGATAACACAGATGAGTTCCTGGGCTCTGTTAGCCCCTGTGTCTGCACCTTGAAGTGAGAGCAGAGCCATCCATCTCGGAAATGAGGCATATGCGAGTGCACACGGAGAGGCCTCTCTTCCTTTGTAAATCATTCTCTCAGCCCAGTGACTCTAAAATGAGAATCCTGCCCTGGGCTATGTGTCAGGGTGGCCACTTCCTGCAGCCATGGATGATGGGAGGTTTCACTGCTGGGCTCAACTGGGGCTGCTTGTCTGAGGGACAAAGGGGTTCTCTTCAGCCCGGCTGGAAACAGAAAAGAATCCCTGCCATTGAGTGGCTGTGCACTCGCCTGAGGAGTTGCCCCTCACCACCAAAGGCCAGTCTGCTCCCTTCCCACCACGCAGCGCATCCGGCTGGCAACCCAGTACGGGAGGAGCTCGGAGTGCATCTTTGTGCTGGTGGCACGACCCCTCTGGGCCCTGTCACTCTTTCCACAGCTGTGCTGGTCAGCAGGGCCAAGAAGAAGGAACCTGTGTCCCCCTTTCTCTTTTGTTAGAGGAACCAGCCCCTCCCCAGCCACCCCCCCAAGTCCTTGAACCTTCTGAGAGCTCCCCGGAGCGCACAAACCCATGTGTCCAGGTCCCACTGCTGGGGCAACAGCACTCCAGACAGATGACAGAAGACCAACGCTGAGGCGTATTCCTTCCCAGCAAGTCTCCAAACCAGCCTTGTACCCGCTGTCCTTCGTGGGGACCTGTGCCTGTGCTCTGGCCAACCCTCCAGGCTGATATGTTTTGAAAGAAAAGCAGTCCTTGACAGCCTGGGACAGGTCTTATCTTAAATGAGGTATCTTGCTTTCTGATGAGTCCCATGGCTGTGAGGTACTGAGAGCAACGTTCTAGGACTCTGCTCTCTCTCCCTGCCCTGTCTTCAACAAACTGACAGTTAAAAGGAAAACTGTGTCTTAAAAATATGTTGTCTTATCATTGCAGACCCTGGAAACGATGGACACAGGGAAGCCATTCCTTCATGCCTTTTTCATCGACCTGGAGGGCTGTATCAAAACCCTTCGATACTTTGCAGGGTGGGCAGACAAAATACAGGGCAGGACTATCCCCACAGGTGAGCCAACTCAGGACTCTCAGCCTCGTCCGGGGTCTCTTAGGGGTTCTGTCTTCTCAATCCTCTAGCTAGCCTCTTCAGAGCACCCCCGGCTCTTTCCCCCAGAGCATCCTTCCCACACCCAAAAAGGTGTGTCAATCCTTCTTCTAAGGAATTTTACTTTTGAAATTGAGTTAAAAATCGCTTCATTGTGGAGCAGATAGGACTTAGAGCTGACAGTTGATGGGCTTCTGGGTTTCTTTCTTGTCTTTTTACTCCTTAAGATCCTTAACCTAGTTTCATGCAAGCACGTTCTTCTCTGTTTAATCTCTTTTCCAGATGACAACGTTGTGTGTTTCACCAGGCACGAGCCCATAGGTGTGTGTGGGGCCATCACTCCTGTAAGTATGGCAACTTCTCTAGATAGATCTGTATAGATCCCACCCCATTCCCCTGTGGCCTTTGGAACCAATTTCTAGTGGGTTTTGATTCGATTGCACTGGTATTAATTGAACATTTGCTCTGTGGCATGGAGCTTGGTGCTTAAGGGTCATCAAGATGGATCAGACCCCATGCCTGCTCTCAAGGGGCTGATTCCAGGAGTGCAACAGAAGACACATGGATTCAAACCAAAGGGGTCAGGGATGGCCAGCTCCCCTCGGGCAGTGGTCTCTCATCAGTTTCCTGCTTGCTAGAAATTCCTTGAGCATTTATTAAAAATTTAGGTGATCCAAACATTGTATTTCTCATGTACATATAACTAAATCTGGAGACTTAGTTTTGGACTTTACTGGGATGGCCAGCTCCCCTCGGGCAGTGGTCTCTCAGCTGGGCCTTGAGGATAAGAAAGAGTTGTTCAACAGGCAAAACAGATTTCTGAGCAGCAGGAATGGCCTGAGTGAGGGTGTGGAAGTGTCTGGACTACTTGGAGGGCAATAAAGATAGCTGGTGAGGTCAGAGCTTAGGTGGGGACAAAGTGAGGAAGAGGAAGAGCAGCCAGCAGGTGGTGCTGGCTCAGCATCCAGTATGCCTTGCTTCCCAGGGCCCAGGACTTTATTCACTGGGCCGTGGAGAGTCTGGCAGGTGCTGGGGATGCTATGATGCTACCATCTATTGGAGGAAACACCAGGCCACTGCACCAGCTGGGGAGGCGGCGGCAGTGTGAAGAGGGTTGGAGAAGGGCTCTGCAGGGGCCAGGCAGACGTGTCCTTCAGCAGCCAGTCTTGAGAGCCGGGAAATGGTCAGGCCAAATGTGCTCTTGCCCATCAAGTTGGGAGGGATCACCTAAAGATGGGTGTAGAGTGAGAAAAGAAGAGGGCCTGGGGCCAATCCCACAGACCACCAGGGAATCCCATGGAGAAGTCTGAGCAGCCAGGGTCAGGGGCCTCCCAGGGACGTAATACATTTCCAGAAAGAGACTGTAGTCAGTGGGGTCCTCTCCTACGTAGGAATTCAAAAAGACAGAAACACAGCTGTTAGATGTGCTCCCCAAGAGAGGCATCGGGGGAGTTGGGGCTAATGGAAAGGGAGCTGGGCATGTGGGGATGGCCCTTCCAGAAGCTGCAGTGAGAGAGAAGGGAGCTGCTAGAAGAGGCAGAGGCCAGGAGAAGGTGCAGATTTGCTTGTAGGTGAGGAGAACTGATGGCATTTATGTGCTAAGGAGTGGGGATCCAGAAGAAGAGGGGACCCCTATCACTATTGGGGGAACCCTAAGACAACACCTGCTGTCATTAGCCAACCACACAGGCCCCTGGGAAATGGGATGTTATATTTGTTGTCTAGTGGTAGGAATTCCAGACAGAGCTGGGGGGAGAAATCCAGCTAGCCATTGGTCAGCCCTGCAGGGGGGACATCATTGGAGTATAAGGAGCCAAACGGACTGTTTGGGGGGTTGGAGGTGAGGCACAGCTAGAATCAAGCTAACTGCGCTCTTGGAGGTATTCGGTTTCATCTCGTCTCATCAAAGATGTTACTTAGGCAGCAGTGCAGTGGAGGAAACAAGCCTGGCCATGAATCCTGGCCTTCGTCTGAGGCACAGTTCCTCTGTGCCTCAGTTCCCTCTTCTGTCAACAGGAGCAGTAATATGACTGCCCCACGCAGGTGTGTGGGGATCAAATGAGTTCAGATTTTGGAACCGCACCTGGCACACAGTGGACACTCAGTGGGCGAGAGTGCTTGTCAGGCCTGATGTCACAGCAATTTCGATATCCCTGCCTCTGGGGTGAAAGGATGACAAGAAACCATTTCCCAAGGTGTATTTCACCAAACACCCATTCGGTGGGGGTTAGTATGTGTTCTGTAAGGAGAGAAAGAGATCCTGTGGCATTTGCGTTTAGGAGAGGCGGGGCTTGTTTCTGTCGGACTTTTCGGAGTTGTTAACATGCTGATGGCATTGTAAACCTCCAAGAGGAGAAGGTAGTACACCTATAGCAGAATCCTCTTTGCAGTGACCACCTATTAGCATCTCCCAGAATGCAGTTTAGGAGGCGCCAGGCAGGAATGCAGTTCTGATCATCGCATACTCCTATGTTACCTCCTATACCCCAAATCTAAACCATGCAAAGCAAGTGCTTCATGGAGGCATCGCAGGGCCTCCAGGACAGTGTAGTAGTGGATCTGGGCTTCCCAACCACTCTGTGTTCTGCTGCAGTGGAACTTCCCTCTGCTGATGCTGGTGTGGAAGCTGGCACCCGCTCTCTGCTGTGGGAACACCGTGGTCGTGAAGCCAGCGGAGCAGACTCCCCTCACCGCCCTCTATCTCGGCTCTTTGATCAAAGAGGTAAGACGTCCAAAGAGAAAATATTCTGTGTCCTCAGTTACATTTCCACTCCCAGGAACCAGGCCACCGTCACAAGATAAGTCTGCCCCATGGAGCTGTGCTGTGCATGCCAGCGCCAGCCGGCTCCTGGCCGAGTGGGAAGGGAATGCCTCCTGGGTTTCACTTGGCAGCTGCTCGTTCCCTCTCCTGCCTGCGGTCACTGAGCTAGAAGAGACTCCATTCCTCCCACTGATCCTAATGAGAATACTTTACTCTTATTATGAGCTCAAACCCATGGTTTATGACCAAATATTCTGTCTAGAGAATTTACGTGAGGGTTACCTGGGAGGCAGATTCTTTGGGCCCTGCACATGTGGTGTACAAAATGGTCCATTCTTCTCGTGGGTGGGTGATCTCGCCAGCTCCCCCTGGAGGGGCTACTGCTGAGCCCCGAGCCTCCTCACCAATGCTCTGCTCTCCGGTGACCGTCCTCTCCGTGGCAGCCACCACGTAGGGAAATGAACAGTCCAAAGGAACACCTCCTTCCAGACACACCTGGCAACATGTTTCAGTCATTTTGTCCCCAACTCGTATGTTGCAAAGAGTTTTAAAAAGAAACAGGAAGAAAAGAGGGATAGGAAGTAAGATCCATTCATTCCACTTCTCAGCTGGGCTAATACGACAGGAAAGCAAGACCTTTATTACTTAGATGTAAGGCTGCAGAGCCAATAATTGACCAACTTCCCACTTTCCTTTGACCCGTGATGTAGGACCTTATGACATCGTAGTAATCAGACTTACAGATTCTAAAGTCACAACTGTTTCAAAAAGAGTTTAGGAAAACTAAAGACTCAAGCACGATGCTGTAAAATCTTGCCTTACTAAAATACTGTGTTTTAATGAAGACACTGGCATCCTCCAGGGGTTCAGCATGCCCCTGTGGTTCAGCATCCCCTACCTGTTCATTTGTGGTGCTCTTGGTTAATAAAGAGGACCCAGCATATGAGGAGCACCAAGCATGAATGTGAAAGAAAAGTCGCTCCCTACCTTCAGGATGTGCTGGCTCTCGGCGTGACCCAGGTTCAACAGCAGGGATTCTGAGGGAGTGAGACCATATTGCCATTTGGAACATTAATGGGGCAGATTTTAAAAATGAAAGCTGAAGCCCAGGAAGGGTATTTTGCAGGTACCTCCGAGTTGGGGACTGTGACTAAGGTGTCGCTTCTCCCCCCAACACACAGACAAGCACACACACACAGACACACAGAGACAGACCCATATAGACACAAACATAGACACACACAGAGACAGACCCATGCAGACACGCACGCGCGCACACACACACACACACACACACACACACACACACACACACACACACACAGAATGGTGCTCTGCTATGAAACGGCCACTACCCTTTTGCTCAGAAGCACGTTGGGGTAGGCAGGGCCGCCCAGAAGGAGGGTGTGTGCCTCGCCCTGGCCCCACCCGCACACTGGCTGACTGGGTCTGGTCCTGGGGTGGTGATAGGAACCGGGCCCAAGCTTCCAGGTGAGGGTGCTGCTCTGCTCAGGGACCTCACTCAACCTCCTCTTCTGAACACCATCTCAATTTCCTCCCAGGTGGGATTCCCTCCAGGCGTGGTGAATATCGTGCCAGGATTTGGGCCCACGGTGGGAGCAGCAATTTCTTCTCACCCTCAGATCAACAAGATAGCCTTCACTGGGTCCACAGAGGTAACCCTCCTCGCTGACTGTGGGGGACAGTGGCTGTCGCTGAGAATTCTCTGTTTAGAGGCTAAACTATGATGACCCCATTTTAGTACATATTTGTACTAAAAAAATAGTACTTTTTTTAACAATCAGTTAAAAAAAAAAGTTACTGGTCCAGTTTCCAAACTAAATAAATATCTAATTTATTTACTCAGAAGCCTCAGAAGAAAATATTCATAGATAAGATAAAATAAAAATTGAAATATCCATAGGATAAACAGCATAATCAAGGTTAAAAAATAAGCCTAAGGTGTTTGGCAATATTGTAATACTGATCGTACATTTGAAAGTGTAAACTTTTGTTTCAGAAATTCCATTTTGAAGCAACTATTATTCTCATGAGCATTCAAGGACATACTTTCCAGTATATTGTATCCATCCTATATGATGTTTTACAGCCATTACAATAAGGAAAGCTGTCCATGATCTATTGCTGAAGCACAAAAAAAAGTAAATTGTAGGGCTTCCCTGGTGGCGCAGTGGTTGAGAGTCTGCCTGCCGATGCAGGGGACACAGGTTCGTGCCCCGGTCCGGGAAGATCCCACATGCCGCGGAGTGGCTGGGCCCGTGAGCCATGGCCCCCGAGCCTGCACTTCCGGAGCCTGTGCTCTGCAACAGGAGAGGCCACAACAGTGAGAGGCCCACATACCACAAAAAAAAAAAAAAAAAGTAAACTGTAGGAAAGTATATACTATATATATGTATATACCATTAGTAAAAGGGTGTGTGTAGAGAAATAGGAATTACCTGGAAGGACTCCCCCCAAAAATTCTTACTGTGGCCTCCTCTGGGGCAGGTCCTGGGGCATTAACAGAGTGAGGGAAGATAAAAACTTTCCCCTTTAATTTACACACATCTATATGTGGGAATTATTTCTAATGAGAAAGTACTTCTTCTGTACTTAAAAAAATAAATGGATAAAATTTCCCAGGCAATAAGTGCTCCCATCTCCCTCCTAGTTTAGTCCAGCAAGGGGCCCAAGACCCAATCCTATGGCTGCTGGACAATAGCTGGAAGACAGGGGACTAAGGGGGATGGAGGGGCAGAGAGGGTCCTGCCCCACAATGGTTCCTATGTCTTCCCAGTCTTCTCACCCAACAGCAGAAGCATCACTGCCCCTGCCCCTGCCCCTGCCCCTGCCCAGCTTCTCGCTCTAGGTGACTGCAGGGCTACCCATGGGTCCAGCCGGGTGGGGCTCTCACCAGGCAGCCAGCCTCCTGCACAAGAAGGTGGCTTCTGTGACCCCAGGGATTGCTCAACTGACAGGCATCTCCCTAAGAGGGGTGCTTCCCACCGAGGCCCCCAGCTGTGCCTCAGCCTTACAAGAGATTGCAGGCCCACAGCAGGCTGGTTTGCTTCAGGTACTCTCCCTGGAGACAGTCCTTATCACCTGGATCAGGCCATCCACACCTCCTTCAGGCCATCACCCAGGAGCTGGCCGAGTTTTAAAACGCACTCTCGGGGACTTCCCTGGCAGTCCATTGGTTAAGACTTCACCTTCCACTGCAGGGGGGTGGGGTTTGATCCCTGGTCGGGGAGCTAAGATCCCACGTGCCTCGCAGCCAAAAAACCAAAACATAAAACAGAAGCAATATTGTAACAAATTCAATAAAGACTTTAAAAATGGTCCACATCAAAAAAAAAAAAAA